GATACAAGTCCCTTAAAGTTTACATCAAAGAGAAAAAAAGACTCTCCACAAAACTTTGAAAAATGTGATATTTGTCAAGAAAAATCAAAAGAATGCAAAAAAAAAATGGTCAAAAGTTATCAGCTCTGGACAGAATTCCATGATGCTGGCAGCAGAAGCAAGGAGAAATAAATTGTACTGGTGGCTACTGGATGAGTTTTCTAATTTAGATGATGTGCCACCAATACTCTATCAGAGGGGTTGCTTTCAGAGATACACAAGCAAATCATATTTGGTACATGTCAGATTTGTATTGAACCCAGGAAAGAAAATGGACTCTGAATCGGATCAGAGAACATCACATTCACCTGCTTCTGTAGCTACCACAGCAAGCACAACCTCTAGTCCTGGTCCTGTTGCACTGTTTGCTTGAGAAAAAACACACAACAAAGATAAACTTCATATAATAGAAACATTTGAGAGAGCAACCAATCTAATGGAGGTAGCACTTCAAAGAGCAGATGATGACACGTTGCATAGAATATCTGTGGAAGACTTGATTGCGAAGTATCAGAGGGGTAGCCGTATTAGACTGAATCTGTAAAAAGCAACAGAGGGTCCTGTGGCACCTTTAAGACTAACAGAAGCATTGGGAGCATAAGCTTTCGTGGGTAAGAACCTCACTTCTTCAGATGCAATCTGTTGATTGCTAAGGATACAGTTTATCACTCAACATGCCTTTCTACTTGAGAAAAACAAATCTCTCAAACCAAAATCTTCTAGTTACACTGCAACAATACAGTCACCTTAGGATACTGCATTTTATCAGCTGATTGAAGAGACAGACAATGTTATGTACAACAAGGCGGCTCTTCTGTCAAAACTGTGACAAAGATATAAAGCCCTACTTCCCTGAGACATAGAAACTGCAAGCTATTCCATTAATAAATTACAGGCAAGATCAGAAAAACACTTTGGATCTGCAATTTCATTCCATGCATAGCATGGACTAAGCAAGTCTACCTTTGTCCTATGTAGTGCAATAAAAATAGTTGATACTATCTAAGCTGCTAGTTTCTGAAGCAGGAAGTTAAGTCATCCAAATGTTTTCTGGATTTCTTCTCATGAATGAGCCGGATGAACAGCTTTCAAATAAATAAGTGGTTTTGTATAATGCTGCTTCAATACTGGTCTGAAATAGCCAAAATGAAAGCCTCAGAATATTATCCAAAGCCAGGTGATCATAGTTTAAAGAGGTCAGCTATTTTTGTGCCCCATTGATGCAGGAGTTTGTCCTTTAATTGATAAAGAAGCATGTAATTCAGCCAGCAATGAGCATCATCTTTCAGGAGACATTCAGTGAAGGTGCCTCTGAGTTGCAGAGGGCATAGTATTTAACAATTCCAAAATTATCACACTACTGCACATAAGCCTTCCTGCACGCCTATGCCATGAATTTGGGTCTTGCAATTTAACTGACATACTACACCTTCATGGATTCTGCATCAATTATGATGAGCTGAGAGGGTTCATTACTAGTGCTGCAAAAACTGAAGTAGAAAGACTCCAGGGATGAGTGTTCATTCCAAATGGAATTATACTACTTCAAGCTCATGGAAATCCCATCCATGAAGGGGATGATAATATAGACATCAGTATATAGACCACTGGTGGAAAGAATACATTTCATTCAATGGCTAGAATAGTATTTCAAGAAAAGTCTGAAGATATTTCTTCTGATGGTGGACTATCACTGAAGCATGGGAAAGAAAGGTCATTTACTCACCCCAGGCAATCAGAGCCTCTTACTCAGTGTTCAGCATTTGAAAAATTTAGAACACATCTAGAACCAACTTGCCATGAAAAAGTACTTGAGAAAATAAACTCATCTACATATGAACGCTGTTTGAGATCTCCCCTGGTGTCTTTTAAGACTACTACAACATGAGGTATTACCAATACCAAATGATGTCCACACTCAGGTGATTCCATTTTGGTTGATTTCAACCACAAGCTTGCAACTAAGAACTCCTCCAAAGCAATTGCATATGCATCTATTTGGATGCCAAATCAGTTGACATGGTCACAGTCTATGCTATAATCCTGAAATGTAAGGAAGAGTCAGCAGCTCTAGGACCCCAGCATGTGGTTCAGACCATGGATTGGCGGCTGTATGGGGTGGGGGTGATATGTGTGGGGCATGTGGTGCCCCCCCCCCGATTGCTCAATCAAATGGTGTGGCTGGGTGCCCTCCCTGCAGAGCAGTTGAGCCGGGGAGCAGAGCTACAGGAGGGACCCCCGCTTTAACTCTTCCAGGAGAGGCAGCTAGGAGCTGCACAGAGGGGCTGCTGCTTTCCAGGAGGGGAGGGGCTGCAAGGGGGGGGCATAACTTCAGCTGTTCCAGGGTTGTGCCTCCCCACTCTCAGCAGGCATGAGTTGTCTTTAGGTCACTGTACAGAGAGCTGCTCCCCCATCTGCCCAACCCTTGTGCATCCAGACCCCCCATATCCAGATGCCCCCAGTGAGCCTGAACCCCCCACACCCAAACGCCCCATCACATCAAGACTCACCCCCTGCATCCTGAGTCCCCTTGCATCCATCCACCTCCCCCCTGCCGAGCCTCACCTGACCTCCTCCTGCATTGGGTCCCCCACCCTACACTCAGACCATCCCCACTGAGTCCCCCGCACTCAAATCCCCACCCCCAACGAGCCCCACACTCCCTGCCCCGGACCACCCTGACAAGCCCCCCCCATACCCAGATCCCAATCCCACTGAGCCCCAACTAGCTTCACCTGACCTCCTACCCCACAAGCCCCACTCCCCCAGCACCCGAACCCCCTTACCAAGTCCTATCTCCCCCCTGCTAAGTCCAGATCCCCCTGCTAAGCCCCAACCACCTTCACCTGGACCCCTCTGCAGAGGCCCATTGCCCCTGCATCTGAAACACCCCAATGAGCCCCTGTGCATCCAGATCCCTCCCACACCTGGATGCCCCACAGAGCTGCCCACACCCAGATTGCCCCACACAGAATCCTCTCGCCCCACACCTGGATTCCCCCAATACTAAGCCCCTCCACAGTTGGATGTTGCCAGGCTACACCTGTTGGCCCACACCTGGTGCATCTGGCATGGAGGGGCAGGGCCCCAGGGTGTTTCTGGGGCAGGCCTGGCCCTTGTGTCATGGTCGGATGCAGCCTCACTACTGAGTCTGTGTCCCCGGAAAGGGGAGGGGAGGCTGCAGGATGATCTCCCACCTCCATGCAGCCTGTGGCCTCTACTCCTCATTGCCATGCTGGAGCTGCCACATTTATTTATCGACAAAACTAGCAGAATTTTAAAATTGTGTGCAGAATTTTTATTTTTTTGGTGCAGAATCCCCCAGGAATAGAGCAGGGAGGAGGTACTCAGGTAATTCCAGCATTTGTCTGGAAAACATTGGCTGATACTCAAAAGGTGTTTGAGTTTGCAAACATCATTAAAGAGCTTAATGATGCTGTAACTCAGCATATGTTACCACTACTGGAGACCTTTCAAATATGGGGGTAGGTTGCAGCGGCGTAGATGTGTTAGTCTGTTTCAGTAAAAACAACGAGGAGTCTTTGTGGCACCTTAGAGACGAACAAATTTATTTGGGCATAATCTTATTTATAAGCTTATTTTATTTGTTGCATCTGATGAAGTGGGTTATATCCCACGAAAGCTTATGCCCAAATACATTTGTTAGTCTCTAAGGTGCCACAAGGACTCCAAATATGGGGGTATGTCCCGTCTCCTACATTCAAGTTCTGGGATCATTTTCTCCAGGTTATGTAGATACTACTTCTAAATGTCTGTGCAAAGTGAGAGGATGATTGGAAACCACACACACATACACACGCTTCCTACTTCTTTACTACAAACAGGACCAACTAAACCATGTAGATACCAGTCTACATTCTTGACATGTTAAATCTCCCTGGAAAAGTACACAGTGCCTTTGAATCTGGGGAATTTGCTGATGATAATGATGTTGACTAAAAATGTCACCAGCGCTATTACATTTCAATGACACCTATATAAATTTATTATTAGATTTCATTGTACTCTTTAGATTGTTGTTGTGATGTTTTGAGGTCACAAAAAATCCAATTTTAGGTCTTGAAATGATGCATGGAGTCATTACATTAATAGGAAGGAATGCAAGTTGAAAGTGGTCATTTTAATGTGTTGATAGTGTCATTATTTCTTTTTCTATGGTAGTGGCATCACTTTACAGCTCCACATCATATCTCATCTTTAAGTAGACTTAATACACTTTCAAATGATGTATGACGTGCGTGTGTGTAGAGAGGGTACATTAAGTCAACCAAATTGGTGGTGTTTTCCACTCACCTATATGCATCTCCTCCCCCCCCCCCAAAGCACATGAGCAGCACTCATTAGTGTTTGTGCTTTACCCAGGAAAAGTGTAAAGGAGACCTCTCTCAATGGATCACACAGTGGAAGACAGGAGGGCCGTTCTCTTCTCCTGATGGGAGAGGAGTGCCTGGGCAGCTTTCCTGCATATTGTGGATGGAAAATGCCTTTTCTGAATGGGCTAGGGGGGATCTGGACAGCCCTCTGTATTGTGGGGTGAAAAGCGTTCTCTCAGGAGGGTCCCCTGAGCAGCCCCCCTTGTGGGATGGACAGTGCTCAGCACCCTCTCAGGAGGAGATACAGGTTACTGTGCAGCGCTCCTGTATTGTGGAATGCACTCTTGGGATGGGGTAGAAGTCTGGACAGCCCTCTGTGTTGTGAGGTGGGCAGCACCCAGCACTCTCTGGGGATGGGGCAGGGGAGTCCCAGGACAGCCCCCTGTGTTGTGGGGTGGGGAGCACCCAGCACCCTCTGGGGATGGGACGGGGCGGTCCCGGGACAACTCCCTGTGTTGTGTTGCGTTGTGGGGAGCGCCCAGCGCCCTCTGTGGCGGGGTGAGGGCAGACTCAGGAGAGGACAGGAGGAGGGTGCCTGGGGGCTGCCCTCGGCTCTGCGCCGCCTCCCCTCTCCCTCCCTGGCCGTCTGCGGCTCCAGCTCTGGCTCCGGCTGCCATTGGCTTAGCGGCCCCATCCGGGCACTTGGCGCAGCGCTACTGCTCAGCCCGAGCGGTCCCAATATGGCGGAGGTGAGCGGGGAAAGCGGGCAGGGGCGCTGGGGTCCGGCCGGCTCGCTGCGGGGCCCCGCTGTGGGGAGGCTGCTCGCGCTGGTCCCGCCGGCCCGGTAACCTCCCTCCGGAGACGGGAGGCCGGCAGCGGGGCTCCGGGGGCGGCATGGGGTCTGGCGGAGCCGTCCGCACCGGGGCAGCGGGAGCCTGCGCGACTAGGCCGCGGCCGCTCGCTCTGCGGAGCGGGGTGCCGGGTCCCAGCCCCGGGGCGGCGGACAGGCCCCGGGCACGGCCGGGGCGGGCTGGTTCCCTGGCCGGAGCCCCGGGGGGCGCGCAGAGGGGCCCCAGCGGCTAGCGAGAGGCGTAGGGGGAATTGGCCGGTGGAAGGAGGAGAGAGACCCGGACTGGGGTGCGCGGAGGAGGCGGCGGCGGCCGGTCTGGCTCCCTCCGTCACTCCCTGCCCCTGTCACCTCCCGGCCGGGCCGGGAGAGCTGGGGTGGCTGGACTGGGCTCTTTCTCCGGGGCCTCTCAGGAGACCGGGCCGGGGAGAGGGAAGAGAGGCGATGTGGCGGAGGAGAGCCAGCAAGCGAGAGACTGGGGCAGCGGGGATTGGGATGGAGGGGCAGGACGGAGGGGACGGGAGAAAAGCGCTGAGAAGGAGAAATGAGGCGTCTACCCTAGGGGGATGAGGAGAGACAGGAGATAGAGGGGAGGAGGAAGAAGAAAACTGGGGGAAGGACAGAGAGACTCCTTCACAGAGAGTGATGCGGGGAGACAGGGAACTTGAAATGATTGAGAAACCTACCTGTTATTCTAGCTGTAGGATTCCTTCCCTGATTTCTAGTTGCAGCGCATCCATCTAACATCTCTTCCTCTTTCTCCTTTATATTCCAGGCTTCCTTTGGAAGTTCGAGCCCAGGTTTGTCCTGTTTACTTAATTCTATGGTCCCAACAGCTGGGTAGCGTTTGGTAGGGGCTGGGTTGCAGGTGCTTCTGTGAAAGACCCACCACAAACTTTTTCTACTTCTTTACAAAGTTCCCCCTCCTTCCCCCCCCCCCCCAGTTAGTTCACTTTAAATGTTTTATTTCCATGTCTCCAGTTTGCTGCCTAATAACAGATGGAGTGTGCCGTAGAACAGTTCTCTCACCAAATCTGTAGTCTCAACTAGTTGCCCAATAATTTATCCTTGTGTAACTGGATTTTTTTTTTTTAACTTTTGGAAGTCAATTTCTTAATAAAAATATGTAGACTTAAGAGAGCGACCACTTCACTGATATCCCTTAACTACAGGCTTCTAAAATTCTGATACTAGTTATTAACAAGTTTCAAACACTTTTCAGTTATTACTTAGTCTTTCTTCTTAACCTTAATATTAAGTATTATTATTTATCCCCCATTTAAGGCCTCAATCCTGAACAAGTGTATAAACATTTAACTTTACACATGCAGCTATTCCCACTGACTTTAATAGGACTGTTCATGTGTAAGATTAAGTTCATGCATAAGTGTTTTTAGGATTGGGACCTTATTTTGCTTTTGTTCCTGAGCAATCGTCATTCTCCAGATGAGCTCAAATAGTAATTTATCTTTGATAACAAAAACTAGTCTTTACAATTTAATTGGCTGCATTTTAACTACATTTGTTAAACTTGTTAATTTAAAATAAAATGTTTACATATCTGAATAAAAATACTTTGTCAGATCATTGAATATTCCAAGTTAGTTAAGTAAATGGTATATTTTTGTTTAAAGACTGTAAATGGAATACACTTTCCACTTTAGTTATACAAACAAATGTAAAACAACATAGTGCAGTAATTAGCAAGTGTAGTTTTCAGAATACATAATGTACAGCATCTTATATTTGAAATTATTATTTAACAATTATGTATCTGGATACTTCTTTAGAAGCTGTGGGAGCAGTGTCTAAATAATATAACTAAAAAATTCAACATGTAAATGTAGTTATCATAATTAAAAGGATATTATCAACTAGTTTTAGGCTCTGTAGATTTTGAGAGTTCTACAAGACCTAATACAAATTGTCAAGTTTTAATGGATGCTTTTTTTTTAAATATAAAAGGAACAACTTTTGGTTTGAAATGTTTCCCTGCAGTGTTGTGAACTCAAACAATATTGTTCTAGTGAGAACTGGAAAATGAAATTGAGTGTTTGTTTTATTTCTGGATAATGAAAATAATGTTGAAAAAGAAAGTAATGTTTAAATCTAGAAAGTGAACAAGAAATGAAATGCTTTAAAAATCTTAAGTGTTAGCAATAAAGGGAAGGATCTTTTAAAAATTAGTATTATGAGACTTTGCCTTTGAACCCAGAAGTATGGTGTGTGTTTTTTATGAAACCTAGGACCAATATGGATGTTTCAATGAAATTTAAAATCAGAACTGCATATGGAAATCAGTTCCTACCAAAAATATTTCTGGGCACTTTCTGTGATCTAAAAGTTACAACATAGTGCTAGTGCAAAAGAACCGGAAAGTGAAACTGAATGGAAAAGAAAGTGTATTTGGCTAGTCTGTCTACCCTAGCTGAAAGAATGCAATAAGTAAATAGAATAGTGAACAGTTAAATTTTTAAGTTCTTTCTTTCTTTCTTTCTTTCAGTAATCTGTGATGTTGAATGTAGTCTTGTGGTGTAGAATACTTATTTTTTAAAAAATGTTTTAAATCTAATGGCTTCCTTTCTAATATTGTCATAAAAATGTATTTAAATTAGAAAATGCAAAGCAACAGTAATTTTTTTTTT